GGGAGGGACTGCCTCAAAGAATGGCAGCGGGTGGAATGGTGGTATGCACTCATGCGAGTCTTCACTCACTTCCCCTACGAATGCACTCATCGTTTCCAGTCGTCGGCCTGCCTATTTTTGAGCATTATTTAGTAGTCATTGTGGGCTTTATGGTCAAGGCTAAAATAGCCTCAAATTGACCATCTACTTAGTTAACAATGGAGAATTTGAACTTCGAGGACCATTTTTCTCGAAGTCATCGTTTATAGCTGGGAACTATTTCAGGTCTCATGGTTTCGCATCTTCTTTTCCCCCCTAACAACTTGGCGTTAGCCTTCTGAGTCTTTTTGGACTTTCTGCTATTTGATATCAGCTGCTTTCCACAATTAAAAGTGTAGTTCTTTTATTTCTATTGTGGCAATAAGTATAATCGGAGGAAGTGATAATTATACCTTCGTCCATTTAAAAGTATTTCGGAAAACGAGATTTGGCATAAGAACAATGTAAAAATGAGCTCCTTATTTATCGGTATGCATACAAAGACGGATATGAATTCACGTTCCTCAATCAAATGGGAAAATGGAAAAGGAGGGGGGACAATCTCTTTCAACGGCCTTGAAAATGTTTATTGGAATTATCATACTCTGTCCTTCTAATAAATTAAGTGCATGCATTCTTTTTCTAACTAAGACAACCATAAGAATGAGACATTAAGTTTAATCATGCTGTTGTACTTTTAAAAGCAATTGAACATCTCTGAAAGTAAATTAGAAGATGGGCCTTGAAGATTGGCCAATCATAATGAGTTCCAATTTTAAGAGGGGGATGTGATTGGCTAAGATTTTTAGACGAACGACTCATCTGAAAGTGAGTCATCCTAATGTTTTAAGACACAGAACTACAACTCATCAAACATTTACTTACCTTTCAGAAGGTAATTTAATGAGCTCCAATCAAATGAATAAATCTTAATTTGAGGAAAGGTGTGATTGGTCTCAAACTTGAAACTTGCAGCAATTTCAAATACATTAGCTTTGGCGAACATATTTGTTCCGCGTTTCGTAAAATCGGCGTTGACTTTAAGGTATTCGAATGATTGATGCTACCTATGAAATGCTCCTGTCCATTTGGAAATAGAGATGTACCCTTAAAGGTGTACATGTAAATAAATGTGGATAGACAAATTCCATCAAATACGTGTGTGACCATTGGCGGTACATGATGCCAGAATCATCGAAAGAATTCCCCAATCTATTCGTGGATAATTTGTACAAAATTCCTGTAAAAAGACATGAATTCATACGTATCTAATCCATACAATAAGCGCCATTAAAAGAAGCTCCAAAAAGCACGAGATTTTCCCCTACTATCGATTTCTCTAAATATCAACTGATTTTTGGTGAAAATTTTAGGTTTCCCATTCTCGAGTTAACTTCAGATAGCATTCAGATTGCTAATGATAGCAACTCGACGAATCCAAGAAGCTCAGAGATTCCAGTCTCTCGACGCCTCCCCCCACCCCCATCATATTTCCATGGAATGTACGAGAAAACTCTAACAAGTCCAAGCACATCACCAACAGGTGCCATATCTCGGACCCAAGATGGGTCCAGATCAACTTGGTCTCGAACAAGGCAACATCCAGCTCTTAATGATGCCGCCTCAGCAGCCTATCGACGTGATTTAGCTGCTATGGAAGGTCGACAAGCTCGTTTGACCATCAGTTTGATCCTTGCATCTCGTCAACCCTCCGCTCGTATTGACCACTTCTTACGCATTTGTGATCGCCATATACATTCCGCCCTTAGTCTTTTCACGGTTTCTCGTGAGGTGATTGTTGTCTTTATTTTTAAAATAATTTAATGTTTAATGAATTTAAATAACCTCATATTAACAAAGTTTTTTTCGTCTATCTATATATTCACTAGTATTTATTTATCCTATTTAATAATATTTCACTATAGGTAATGGCTGAAGCGATAGGACATCGTCTACACACATCCTCTAATGCATTTACTATCGATGAGCCCGTTTTATTGATGAACGCTGTAGCGAATATCGCCACTTCAGCTGCCAGTCCCACTCCCACAAGGGGTCAGGATTCATCTATTATGCTTCCAATCAATTTTGAGACTTCCCCTCTACCTTCCAGTAGTATACAAGTGCGTTTGACCCTAACCTGCATGACCTTCAATTTGTTGTGACATCATTATCTTATCGTGTTTTCCATGCGTTTGATTAAATAGGAGCGTACCGCATTGGTTACAACATCATTCCATTTGGCCCTCTGTGTAGCTGTTCGGACATTATGGCCGAAACATCATTTTCGTCGACAGGAGTTCCTCGGTTGGATGGTATCCACGGGTATCCTTGCAGGACCGTTTGCGCTAAAACACCTAGTGCAGTCGTGGAGTTCGTATGTTTCTACTATAGAGGGTATAACGATGCTGGCACCAACAATGCTTAATTGTCTGAGTTATCTCCAAAACGTGGGTACTGTGACAAGTGGAAGTGGCTTGAACACTAGTGGAAGAACTGGTGGTCGAAGTGGTGTTGGACGTGATGGGAGTTTGGATCCCATGTGTCCGAGCTCACCAAGAGTCTACAGCTTTCATTCCTTCTCCCTTACAAATCTGGATCAAATTCGTGCTGCTGTCAGGGCCATGATTGTTCAGGTTAGTCTTAATGGTTATATGATGCCAACCCTTTTACTCTACTAACTAAGCTATGGAAATGGCCAAAGATGGGATATAGTGAGTAGAATTCGAAATCTCTTCTTCCTAATTTGGGCTATTTTGGGGGCAATGGGTTACAACTTTTTTCTGATTTTTTGATATGTGGGGGCGGGGGGTATTTCGTTTTGGTAATTTCAATATATATGAGATGACCTTCAAAGGACTAATTTTTTAGTTGAGACTAATCATCTTTAGAAGTGTAAGTGCTAAACTTCTATGAACTTTAATACAAGCAGAATTGAGAAAAGAGACAGTTTGGTGTAATATCTGGGGTAAGCAAATATCCAGGATGCAGATAATTTATACAAATCGAATCATATTTAGACCTGAGTGAAAGTCAATATATGGTAAATGAATTGCGTAAAATAATTGGTTGGCAGTGACTGACGTACTGCTACAACAATTTCAATTGCCCTTCTTGTTTATGACACTTGAGACATCCAGATATGGAGGTGTATTAAAACTCTTGATCTTTCATAACCTTTTTTTTCAAGTGACCTTGCACGCGATTAGGAGTAAAATATTTCGTTGGCTTTACTTAAATTCAAGTGGCTTACAAAAAAATGTATTAATTCAACTGGTTTACATGTCTTTTCTTCTTATTCTCACTCTCCTTCCTCTCGATTATTATCACAAACTGTTAGTTAAGTTGCATAATTTAATCACCAAGACACGTGTAAATCAACAATGCTCTTTAAAGACCTACTTACGATGTATATATATAAGATCTACGTTGACCACTTATTGTCTTATGAGATGATAAATTTTACTTAGGTAATAACTGATTTTAATCCTAATTTCCCTAAATTTAGAATGGAATAAATTATTGGTTCATTTTAACTTGTTGCAATGATTATACACGTTGGTACTAACCGTGGTTGATAAAATTACAATAATTATCTTTTATGTAGGGTTTGAGGTTCATTTATTATCCTTCAACATTGGACATTTCTATGGCAGTGGTTATTTTTTCAAGTTCTGGTTTCATAACGAGTAATCCGATGATATTGAGTAGTGCTGCGGTGTATAGCCAAAACTGAAGTCTATTATTGGTCATAATTGCGCTTAATAAGATCGCCAGTAATACCAGAATTGTTCCAGCGATTTGAAAGGCAAGTTGTACTTTCTTTAGAAAGGTTTTGCTGATTTTACATCCAGGCAATGCAAATGGAAGGAGGGCTAGCGTTAGCACCAAGAAAAGCACTCCAAATGCAAGAAAAATCTCCAAAAGTATTGGCTTTCTGCCTAGATTTTCGGGTTTAGTGCTTGTTATTATTAAAGACAATGCGAGCAGAATTGTTGCAAAAATTAATAGCTGTATAGTTCGCTTGTCAACTTTTACCTCTTCCTGGCCAATTTCCACATTGTTCATCCCTGCGAAAATCAATACCAAGGTCAAAGCTTCGTTTAAATTGTGGAATCCTCGTGTTTATCTAAAGTAATTTCCCAGGTTAATATAGCATTGATCTTAAACTAATAATATTGCCAATCGGGTATTTGGGATACCGCTATGATCTAGACTCTTCAGCACCGTATGCATCAGTCTCTTTCTTAGATAAGTCTCCTAAATATAACACCAACGCTGGAAACGAAAAAAAAACACTCAATTTCTATAGAACTTTGTATTTTTATCAGAGATCCAATTTTGTGCTAGCGAGGGAAGCAACTGTCAAGACAACTCCACTGTAGGCAAAAATGTAGTCGAATGCAACCCGAAATAGCACATCCAGAAGAATCCCAAATGATATTGCTGACACAGACAGAATTAGCGCCGCATAAAGGAAAACGACAAATTGGGCGTCGGTAAGTAAGCTAATGCAATAACAGAGGGTAATAAGTAAACCTCCAATGATGAACATTATACCGATGATTTGCATCCCATAAAATGCGTTGAAGAAGTGTTTAGTACTTCCAATTCTATACTGGGGATGTATGAAGCTGTTCGTTGTGAAATACAGACTAACTGAGATGCAGATAATAATCGAAATTAAAATCATCGCCGATTTAGTTTCCTTTCTCGGCTGGTACTTCATTCTTGACTTTTAGAGTGGAAAATCGATTTGACACTTAATTGATCAACTGTTTTAACGTGGCTCTATCGTGGTATATTGTTTACTACTTTTGCTATATAAGTAGTGCTATTATTGTTATATAATAAACAGATACTGCTTAAATATATTGCATTCTAGTTTAACTGCATTTGTTTTAATTTTAAGTTCTCATTATTTTGTTCTACTAATGGAATTTTCTTCGAAATTTGACCACCGATTCCGAATTCATGCTTATTGTCTGTTTGCCGTGATGATGAAACCATCACTCTATCTATTTTCTAAAAACTAAATGTATGCTTTACTTATGAGCTCATACCATCGTTGTGAATCTCCCTTTTAAATTTATGTAATTTTTAACTATGCTGAAGACCCCCACAAATTTTCCTAGGTAATTTCTGATTGACTCATCGAGTCATCTACCCTCATTTTCAATTATCAGATTATAAGTTTGCGTCATGAGAGGTATAGCTATTATTTTTATGTCATTTTTAATTAACAAGTTTGTCAATTTGAAAGTATAACCTAGAGGTTGTTTACTTATTTTCTGTTAGTAGTTATGGGTTTATGCCTTTCATTTTTTTTCCTGGCGTTGGGATACAAGGAAGAAACCAGTTCTAAAATGAATTCTGCAAATTATTTCAAAAATTGAAATTTGTTCCCTTGGTGTTTGATTCATTAAATCAATGTATTTATTTGCGAAAAAGGGGATGCATCCCAATATTCGTAACGATGCTCAGTTTCCTGACTATTTTATTACAATGAACTCCATGAAATTCTCTTTTTTCTATTACCTAAATCCTCATCCTGAAACTCAAAATAAGTTTTTATTACTATGAAGCACATCAGTAGCTTCCCCCCACATTCCAGTATCCGCCTGAGGATCCGAAAGTCACCCTCCCAATTTCTTAGCCCACAAAAGAAAGAGGAACAAGCCAGTATGTGCAGCGATTCAATCGGAGTTTTATTCAATTATCCCATTCAATGAATATAACATTTTAGCGTTGCTTGTGGGTGACTGTTTCTTACAATTTGAAATATTTATCAACAAACACAAATCCTAGGGGGGAAGAACCGAAGAGAATGGACGGAAAAGCAGCAGAAAACGGGTGAAGGTCTATTGTTAAATCCGGGTTATCTGCATTCAACAGAGTGTAGCAGTTATAAGGCGATGATGAAAAAAATTATATGGAGTGAACAATGAGAGCATAAGCAGTGGGGTGTATTAAAAGAGGCGTCTTAGTTTTCTAGTGGTTAACTTTCATGCGGTTTAGTCCGAATTCTGCGTTTGCAACCTTTACCAATTTAACGCGCCGAACGCACCACAACGACACGTTCAGAGGAAACACATCTGGAGTAAACTGCGGCCAAAATTGCGACGAGAGAAGCGAAGACCATTCCGACAACAACAAGGAAGTAAGGCCAGAGACCTCCGCGTTTTGAAGTGTACACCAAGACACCGATCATAATAAGAGCTACCCCGATGTAAAGAATCACAAATCTGGCTGTCATCATTCCTGCGGGGACAGTACTTTGGCAGAGCATGACGATGTCGAGGATAAATACAATTATTAAACAAATTAAACCGATGATAATCAAAAATGTGACTGCAACCATGGCTTCTTTATCGTAGCTAGATCCACCGAAAGCCAGACCATTTCGCCAGTCGGAAATAGCTAAAGCAATGATGATCATAGCGATGGCGATCCCCAGGAGGGCAACAGTAAGCTTTCGCATTTCCATGGTGATATGTTAAGAAGAAGATAAGGTACTAGAACACGTCAGTCAACTAACTTAGCTCGTCCAAATCTACTTCTCGTGTCGATTCTCGCGTTACCACGACGTTGCACATACGACCAGCATAATTCTCGATTTCCATTGGCTGACGCAGTTAGGCCAATCACGCGTGAGACAATAGCGCAGTTTGCCTATCCTACTATCGACCTTGCATTATGACAGGGGGATAAACACTTATCTCCTAGTGGATAGTTGCTGGTACGCCATGTGTAATCGACGCATCTCATTGGCGCGTGTTTCCACGGTCGCTTACCAATGACTAGATGCTTCTTCATACGTTCCAGTGTGTAAATATTGTAGCCGTAGTTCTTAGCTTTATTGATCTCGACAGTTTGCTTTACACACTAGTTTACAACTTTTGTATTTATTTACCTTTTTTATTTAATCCCTTATCACTTCATTAAAATAAGTTGATAAAGGGCTCAAATATAAGTAAAGTGAAGTAGCACATAGTGGAAGGTGTTCGTAACAAATAAATCTACTTGGCAGTGACGACACCAACAAGCCTTCCCAGTAAAATAAAAAGTGGGACTGTGCTAGCGTGCCTTTTTCTGAGTGGAGTTGTTCATACTTCCCCACGAAGTTGATGAGGAAGGAGATTTTGTGAAAAATAATTAAGAGGTGGGATGGCACCATGGAATTGTCCAATTTAGAAGATCGTAATCTTTTCCTCCCCCCCCCCATTTGCTGATCAGACTTATTTACTGTTATCGAACATTCCAATTAGAATCGATTGCATGGTCTCCAATTGATTAGAAGTACGTATAAGAAAATCTACACCTACACAGTACCATGATTTTGCGTTGAACATCCTAGGTGTTGCTTTTTGGAAATAAATCAGGAAAAATGGTTAAGTGGGAATCAAGCTCATCTCTTCAACCTCGACGAATCAAACCTCTCCAGAATTCAGTGTCTTATTGTCAAGGCCGAGTAATTCCTGGTTAATAAACGTTACTCCTAACCCCGTAATGGAGAGCAGTTTAGAAAAATCATCTTAGGCAGAGGATTAGGGGCATGAAAACAACCATGTGAGAAACTCGGATTCCACTTGCTTACTGAATGTGATCAGATGACCTTCAATCATGTAACCTCTGGCTTGATAAAGGAGAACGTTAAGCCTGCGCTGCCCATTCTATTATCCCTCCCTGTATTCGAATTAAGCCATTACTGAGTGCGTCCCACGATTCTTCACATTTCTTAACATAATTTGGATAGCTTCTAATTTGCCTCGCCTGTGGTTGTTCAGATAATCACGTGACACACAAGTAAAGTAACGCTTAGCCAACAAATACCCTGTCGGCTTATTAAGTTTTGCAAATGCACATCTGCATACATTAACTGGCTTTATTCTCTAACTCTCTTTGTGTTAGAACATTAATCATGCTACACTGTCTCAGGTTCGTATGTGAAACTAGTGGCTTGTGATTTAGTAGAAAACAATGGGAATCAATCGGCTCTTTTTAAGGCCCTATCAAAAGGAAATTCTATTGCGAATACCCCAAGCCTCGACATATGCCAATCAATGTAAAAAGTAAAATTTTTAGATTGGGTGACGTTTGATTTGGATACGCTTGAAGTGAACAGAGGTATTTCTCTCTGCAAATAACTTCCAATTTATTTGAGGAGCAGGGTAATTGGGAAGAAACTCCCTTTTGCAGTCAATAAATCCTTCCAGTGTTAATCGGGACTTTATTTCAAAATCCATGGGTACTATCGAGAATTATACAACAAGAAGAACAGTCGTCTGAAGTTTCCAAAGCTGGTCAGATCGTTGTGATCTTTCGCATCCACCTGTTTTTGTGTTTTATTGTGGGGACTATCGCCATCTTGGCAATCTTCGAACTGTGTTATGGACGTTTATCTTTTGTCTAAAAATATGTATTTGACAAGCTACTTCAGGATTTCCTTTTTGAAACAAAAAATACGTCTTTTCAACCGCATAAGTCATTCATTTTTTGTGCATTCGTTTAGTTGTCTCGGGTGATTTCAGAGTGGAGTTAGTGTGGTTTCCCCTTTGTTTGTTTTGTGTGAAACGAAAAAAAGGCATTAAAACAAAGAAAATCACACATTTGGAATTTGTTCTAGGTTCTGAGTCAACTGTTAAACATTCAGCTCCTTTTTATTCCTTTGTTTTAACAAGGAAAAAGTAATTTAAATTTAATAAATTGTTCTCCCACGGCCAGATTCAAGCTAATTTGGATTGACATTTAAAATATCTTATGTGAATTGATTGGTTTCGAATTTGTGTCGTCTGATTTTATAAGCATAAAAATAAGCACCTGTTTCGTATTATTTTTATTTTAATGTTCCTATTTTCCCCTATTACGTTGACATTGTCTGTTGTCGAAGAATTCACTGCACGACAAAAGAATTCTGACAATTTCGCGCCCCCCCCCTCTCTCTCTTCTGAAAGAAACGTTTGAACGAATTCTCCTACTTCAACTCATTTCAAATATGATAATGTGAACTGAAAACAACAGTCTCTAACATTCACGCAGTAAAAATTTGTTTACTTTCGTTTTGTTTCGCTAAATGAACTCTAAATCGCTGACTATTACGATTTGGCCAACTGTTAATCTTTTCCAAACTACCTAAATACCAATCCAGGGGTAAATTTCAAGCACGTTATGCAAACTAACTCGTATAATAACGGGAACTTTTTTAGCATTTAAGACATGGAAACAATTTTGAAATAATTTTTTTGTTTTAGGCGACAAGTAAGGATCCCGTGAGTTGTGCGCTGGCTGCTCTTCAATTAACTGAAATGGATCCTGCGAGTTTTCAAGCTATCTACCCTCTGGTTTTGAATGCAGTCTATTCTGGGAGACTTCGACCAAGTACACTCTTCACAGCGGCTAAGTACCTCGATTCTCGAGGTTTCTCCGAACAAGCATTTCCTTTCACAGTTCAGGCTATTCGTCAGTTCGTTCTAACTGGACTCCAAGTAATATATAATATACATTTGCTACAGTACTGTGTTAGAGTAGTTTTGATAGTTTTTTTCCCTATTTCGTCTCTGAATGTGGATAAATTACTCAGTCTAACTGCTTCCGGTGATTAGCTTGCCATAGCACGCCTCAATACTCCTTCAATTCGTGCTCCCCCCCCCTCCCCTCCCCGTTCGATTGTTCACTAGTATATTTCACACCCCTCAAGTGGCCGAATTTGTCAAGCCGTGACTTGTTGAAACACCATTAAACCACATTCCTTACTTTTACGCCACTTCAACTCTTAAGCCTGACATTATAAAAATCAGTCTCTTACCATTTATTTAGTGGCAGAGGTTTGCTTTGACCCCGCAATTTTGGTGGTGGTGTCGGCTGCTGGAGGTAATTCATCAAATTATACGTGTTTTACACCCACATAATTTGAAGGCAAATCCAAGGTCAAGCATTTCGATATGTTCGTTTGACGTGGAAGCAAAGGACACAACGCACCGGAGTCGAAATCCTATTACTTTAAATCTATAGCCAATTATGAATTGTGACTTAATAGTTAAAGGCTCCTTCTGTTTTTGGAATGCCTTTACTCCAATGGTCTATCTTTTTTTTCTGAAGTCAGAGTAATATGACATTTACCACTTAATAGAAATTAGACCGAACAAATGGTGAAGAACTTCATCTTGCAATTTTTTCGACATAGTCCGAGGGTCCTAATAAATGGCATTCGTGTTATTATGAAAAAAAGATATCATTTTCGATCACATAATAGGGCTATCGCATAAGGATGCTATAATTGGGTTAACTTATGTAAGAATGTTCAGGTTTTAAAGAGTTTAAGGTTCGAATTTATGCTTCAATACTGGCGTCTGGCTTGCACCCTGTTTTTTTCCAGATTTCCATGGCACAGTTGGTTGTCAGGACATCTAAATAATACGCACGATGATTCATCCCTGGGTGTAAATAAATACTTAGATTTTTAAATGTTATTTATGGAAAACCAGGGGGGAAAGTAAAGATGTAAATAAAAGAAACTCCGGTCATCAAAACAGATGACAAATTTCAATTGGATAAGGTAGAATTCTTGCATCCAATAAGAAAAAGGATATTGAAACCACAATTTGACATGATTAATAATTTTGTTATTGCATACTAAACAATTTTACATCGTTCATAAGACTCTCAAACTTTATGAGTCGTTGATGGGGGTAGTGGAGCAGTATGGAAGGTCTTGCTCAATTTCGTTTAAACTTTCCTTAGGTCGGAATTTACATCTATTTGGGGAAATCTAAAAAGAGATCAAACGCGGTATATAGCAGAAACAAAAAAATTGTAATACTTGGATTGAATAATAGCATTAGTGACTTTCATATCCCCTTAGCGTTCTAAGTTTCTCAATCACTTGTCTGAATAGTCATTGTGATGCAAATTTTAACTTCAATCTATTTATTTTTTATACGATATTGTGTCTTTAAATCTTTTGAGGACAATCATCCAATCGCTCAAGATGTCCTATGGTCATGCCAACTTGCTCATCGTCTAGGACTTACCAAGCTGTCAGATTTCCTTAAGGTGGTTATCTCCAATGTCCACTGTCCAGCAGTCTTGACGGAGATTCTTCACAGGTGTCGAGCACCACTTCCTTATGGACTTCGACCACATTTTCCTCTTCATCCGCAAATGAATCACCGTAAGTTGACTGAATCCGTTTAGTCATCATATATTCGTGATAAATCGTTGTGCCCATGAAAGTGTCTTAGCTGGCCTTCTTCTGTATAATTTAATTTCCTCTTTCAATCTTTTTTTTGTTTTTTTTTAAAGCTTTCTTCTGCAACAGCTACAAACAGCGTCTCTCTGTTGATGTTCCTCCCTTGAAAGCTCTACTGGATGCCACAATAAACGCCTATATCATGACAACTCATTCCCGACTAGCAAGCATTTCACCACGACAATACGGCGATTTTGTAGATTTTCTTGCACGAGCTCACGAGGTCTTTAGTCTGCTCAAACCCGACGGTCTTAGACAATTCCATCAGCTTGTCACCTCTTTGTGTCATTCCTACCGTGGCAAGAGAAAACTTGTCACTCTTTTGAATGAACGATTCCATTCTCAGCTTAGCTAACTTCCCTCCCTCCCCCCACCCCCCCCACCCCTCCTCCCCTCACTACCATCTACTTGTGTATATATTTGTCTTAGCGCCATTTTCCTACTTTGGAATTCCTTCTTACTAAAACGTCGAACGAATTTAAGTGCAATGCATCTTCTGGGAATTTTGAAAAGCTTATAATAATTAGCCCCAGCCCAACCCCACCCCACCCCATCCTTCACCTTACTTGGCTTCTCTCCATAACTGTATTAATACCTGTCTATGTATGGCACTTGAAATACAATTTTTATATGTTTCACTCATTGTTTTCTTCTGATGCAGAGCAAGAAAGGGCGGAAAAAGATTATGCAAGCAATGAAACAAAAGTGTGATTGAGAATATATAGAGACACTGTAATTGGCTGGTAAAACGGTTGTTAATTTTTAATGGCAAACACGAAATTTGAACTTTTGTGGGAGGGGAGTATGGGTGCAGGGGTATCATCTAAACTGTTCCTTCAAGTTCAGTGCGCGGACTCAAAAGTCTGAATGAAGTGATGCACTTCAGGTTAGAGGTGTTTTAAAGCTCATATTTACTACTTCTTTCGCAATAGGAAACAGCTGAAAGTCCGGCAGATAATAAAGGATATCGGAACAAGAGGATGCCTAGATCAACTCCAAGGTATCAAATTCCCCGGTTCATTTTTTAAAATTTGGTTTGTGTATTATTTACTAAATGGGCACTTCACATTTCGAAATTCATGGTTTATTCATTCAATCGCATTAAAGTCTTATTGGGCTACTTATTAAACCAATATTTACCGACCAGTCCGCGTCAATTCCTTTTATATTCCCGTAGGAGAGATGAGATGGGAAAAAAATGAGTCGATACAGTTTCGTAAACTGCGTTAAATGAAGGTGAAGCCTCATCTTACCTCGAATTACGCATCAAAGCTCCTTACTCTAATCGGACTCACGGAACACCAAATCAGTGAAATAGGGGGGGGGGGGGGGTGGGGGTGGGAGGGGAAGAAAGAATAAGTGACAAAGTGCATATTCTGTACAAAATTGTGCCTCAACGCACATTGTGAAAAGCTTAGGCACACTGACTCGCCATAGCACACGCATTTGAGGTGATCTAGTGTAAAAAGCCAGTACATACCTTTGAGACTAGTGTAAAGTTAGCGCTACGAGGCATATGTAAAGTACAATTAAGGTAATTTGGGAAGCATCGATAGAGCTACTAGAAACCATCCAATTCGAGGGAAAAAATGAAGCCATCTTGTCATTGTTTCCATGTGGACAAGTAAACATGTGTGTACACGTGTGTGTGTGTGTGCATAATTAGGTAAGTGAAAAATTTTCATGAAAATGCTGTTACAATAGTAACCTTCATGTAAACAATAGCACATTCTGTCTACTACTTAAACACAGTGGAATTTAACAATCACGTTCAAATTTAGGCGAAATTGGGCAGCAGAAAATGCCAAAAAAACGAACTATTCAGAGAGTTCGCATCAGAAAGTTACACCACTAAAAAGTGGTATTGAAATAACATTTTCATTGGAAATTTATGTGAAAAAAGTTATAGTTTGATTTAAACGCGATGACTAACCACATAACTACTTAAATGCGCATCTGGGGCCTGAACAGAGTTGTAAAATAGGCTCGGGTATTTTAGGTGTTATACAATGAAAGCTCAGATGATTGTGTGTGTGTGTGTGTGTGTGTGTGTGCGTGTATGGGTGCCAAGCCAATTCATAGGAAGGGTGTTTTAGTAACCCTTGCTAAGCTGAAGTAGTCACACTCGTTTAATTAACTTTCCAAAAGAAGTTACAATTCAGTCAACTGGTTGTTAGGACCTAAATATGGCAAATAGGAACATCATAGGCGTTAACTTTTAAAATTTGAACTTTAAAAGAGTTGGAGCCTTTCATAGTGAATTGTAGCCTTTTTTGAGAAAGTGACGTATTCAGCACCCTGACTGAATTGTCTTCTACATGACTCCCATTCTTAATGAGATTCGTGCTCGTATATATTTCATCACTGATGAAACTGGTGAGGTTAGACTGATTTGTCTTCGATAACTTCATTCTTAACAGTAAATGTTCATTTAAAGATGAACATTTTCAAAATGCTCACAACTTTCAATTCGGGTTGTACTTTGAGTTAACCTTTCTTCAGAGGGCCATATTTCCCCCTGAAAAGCACTAGTTGCCATTATTTAATGGAATAGATCAATTTATGAACACTATTTTTTACTGAATTACCTCAATTGATGAGATCAACTCAAGGGTTATTAATTGCCAAAATACCCCCACAGAATTACTTCCCCACATATGGCGAAACAATAATGAATTATAGCAAAGCGAACTCCCCTAAATCTCAGTAGCTTTTTAATCAATCGCTTAATGAATAGCTAAATTACTCCCAATTGCCAATTGTCCTCCAATCAGCTGATAGTCTTGACTGTAAATTGATCAATAAAATGGAGTTAAGGAAGCACCAAAAGTGGTTTTCAAAGTGCACAAAATTGTCATTAGTATTTAAATTAATTAAATAGTTAGGGGGCTTAAATTAGTTGTATGCCCTAAATACAAAGCCAATCTGGTAGTTCACGTAAACAATATTCTATTTACTAATTTTCAAAGGAATCAATTAATATAAACCGACAAGCAAATTGAGTTTAGCCATTTTAGTTTGAAAAAACCTTGTTCTCTTATAATTTACTCTTCACTTTAAGCAAATCCAATTTTGAAGTCATGCAGATCCTGGACATCCACTTTCCTACCCATTCTTTGCTTTGTTTCAAGAGTGAAGTAATCAGAACTCCATCAAGTACATTACTTTAAAGCTTTATAATAAATCAAATTAGGACGGATGAAATAAGCAATTCGATTACTTGTTTAATTAATAACAAAAGCTGCGCTTTCAGGGTATTAATAATTTGGGTGATTAAACTGTAATGAGTGACAAGTGAAAGATTTAGTGGATGTTAGAAAAAAAAGGCGTGTCCAAACGTCAGAAATCTCAATAGCGAAATTAGCTATTGTGAAATTGCTCCCCAAAATAAGCTAAGTTGCCTCAATGTTATCGAAGACGCATTTACTGGGGGTTGTGTCATTGGTGCAGAGCTCAGTCATTGAAATGCACTTATGACTACGCTAACCGCAATGTGACTGTTGATTGCTGATTGGCTGTGAGGTCTCTGCACTCTCTGCCACAGGGTTGTTCTCTAAAGCGATCAGTGAATCACAGGGTGTTCGAGTACGCATGAAGTTACTTGGTTCAACCGTGCTATTGTTGTGTCCCCATAAGAAAACCAAATGACAGAATGCCTGCATTTTCTGAGGTGGATAAGCAGTACTCACATCAGTACAATGAAGAACGTTATGGTAAATTCCATCTTAATGAAATAACATTTGCGAAAACGGGATGTTTCGGTTTAATAATTCAAGTTAGCTTCTTTGGAAGAAGAATGTGACTGAAGTAAATATGGTCAACGGGTTGGGGAAACATTGGATTCGTTCCGGAAATATAATGGGAAATCCTGAAGTGTTAATATTGTGAGATTTAAAAATGGAATATATTCTTTTCCAAGTAGCAGGCGTTTTGATAGTCATCACTAGCTCATAGGTGACTTCGGGCTTCACAGAGAGATGGAGGAACATCAAAGGACAAAAAGTTGAGATGGGGGACAGAATAATGATTCACAGTGTAAAAGAGACAGATAAAGGCAGGGAAAAAGGCGAGTTGAGTACTATGAAAGGGGTCGGGTCGACATAGAGTAGGGTCATAGTAGTTTGAAGTCAGAAGTCAACAGCAGAATAACAGACTACTTTGGCGTATGTGCAAACATTGCTCAAGATGCACCACGTGAAGGTAAGTATATCGCACACCCCGAAAATCGAATACAGACTCATCGAAGCAGTAGAGAGGTGTGCCACCAATTTTCGTGGTGCTCTTTCAATACTCCTGACATTATTTTCCAAGTTCTTTCCCTAGAAATACATAATAGGAAATATATAGATTTGGGAAATAATATAATACGCACATCATCCACATGACAACACAGGGACACTTTTTATTTTGTTTGATTGAATGCTTATTGCTCCATAGGTCCAACTTGAATTCTCCATTTACTTACACGAATCCCTGAACTGCGGAAGAAAGGAAATGAATGGATGATGTAGGAGGTGTCTTTTACTTGACAATTCAAAAGGAAGGCATTATGGTACTGTTTATCTGAAGTTGATAAGAGATAAGTTTCTTTGCGGGATAGCATTGGAGGAGTCTTATGGTATGTTAAATAAATGGAAAAGTTATGATGTTTATAAACTTTATAAAACATGGGTTTGCTATCGAGTATAACTAATACGCCTGATAAAATTGTATTGTCTTGTAATACACATTTTCAATTGTTTCTTTTGATTTTAATGATCTCATTATTTTATAATCTGCTTATAAAGAATGAAATCATTCTTTGCTTATTATTTTCATGCCGTGAATGGGAAAACAGAGAGCAAACGCCCACGCGCTAGGAAACTATTTTTTTAATTATTAACGTAAATCTAATGGACATTTGGCCAAGCATGAGCAACTTAGTTTCCACACCCACATCTACTGGAGTAATCGAACAGTCCAGAGAGCAACCTATAGGGAAATTGCTTTGAGGACACATTATGGCGAAACATGGGAACTCAATAACCAGCGAAAGGAACAGTGGTCGAACTTCCGGCCCAGACAGACTGCTTCAATAGATGAGAAGGATTATTGACAACATGGTTACAGATTCACTATGGGGGACACGTCATCGTCTATGCGTGATCGCAATCGCGCGCACCCAGTGGCCAATCAGAAGCCTGCGTTTGTTCAAGCGAATCCTCCATTTTGCCTAGGACGAGCACTTCATCCTCAGTATGCTTCTTGAATAAACATGTTCCGTGTAATATGCCTGTTTCTCTATAGCTGGGCTGTAGCTTAACTAGTTCTGAGAGTCTAGCCAAATAAAGGAGAAACAGACAAAGAGATTTCTGA